GGAGAATCAACCATAAAGGCTCTTGCCGCATGGAGTTTGCATGTTCTCCCTCAGCATACGTGGATTCTCTCCCGGTACTCCGGCTTCCTCCCACAATCCAAAAACATGACTGTTAGGTTAACTGGCTTCTCTAAATTCTCCCTAGTGTGTGCATGAATGGTTGTTGGTCCTGTCTGTCTCTGTGTTGCCCTGCAATGGACTGGTGACTTGTCCAGGGTGTACCCCACCTCTCGCCCGTAGACAGCTGGAGATAGGCACCAGCACCCATCGCGACCCCACTTGGGATTAAGCGTGACAGAAAACAGATGGATGGTTTGATATATCTGGACATTTCAAAGACCGAAAAAGGCAGAAAGGCAAAGTTTTATAAAACATAAATCAAACAAAAATGTTTCCTTGCACCAAAAGCAAACAATTACCCAAAAATATGTCAAATTTCATTTCAAAAAAGCTGCATTAAAGGAGGAACCATTGATTTGAAAAGCTATTAAAATGATCAGTAGCTTAAAGCTTTTTCAAAACACTTAAATTATTGCAGTTATAAATGAAACACACCCTTTACTAAATCCCATTAGAACAACCACAAAACATTCCTCCACTTCACCTCTCTGGCTCAAAAGAGGCCGTGCACAGTCAAGCGTGAGACAGAAGCCATATTATGACAAATAATAGCTGCTGTGTGACAGCTATGGACAGCCATGACAGGCTCAGAGCCTCACTGAAAAGTCATATCAAATTTCTCCTTCTAGCCCTGAGCGAAAGCATTTCACAATCCTGAGCAGACCAACAAAAATAACCCTGCACTCGTTAGTGTTCATTTTTATGGATGTAGGACTCTGTGTGCCACGGTCAGCATGAGGAAAGAGCTTGTTGCTTCAGTGTTTCCATGGTAATGGTGCAGAAGATCTTATAGGGTCAGAGAGGAGAGCAGCTGGAGCCTGGCTGAAGGGGGGGTTGAAAAAACAAAACAAAACAAAAAGATAAAGGTGCTTGACCCGGCTTGCTGACAGCCTGCTGGGCTGCAGTTATGTTCCTATTGGACATTTCATTACTGTTGCATCCTCTTGTTCGCCACTGACATGATAAATCGCCCCTAAACCCAGGTTGTTTATCTTTTCTTAGGTGGTAGAAGCCATAAAACAAAAGGCTGTGTTTTTGCATTTGGTGATGAAAGGTGGAGTCTGTCCTGATAAAGAGGGGGAGAGAGACATTTAAAGAGAGAGGAGGGGACTGTGTCAGTGCTCTGAAGTGGATTACATCCATTATTTAGGGGCTGCATGGTTGCTGCTCAGAGAAAGGAGAAAAAGTGTTTGCAGTTTTTGGAAATTTGATAAATTCTGAACAAAGCACCAGTTATTAGCAAAAGCATATGCACACATTTATTACACTCCAGTATGATTAGAAATGAGCAGAAATCATATATCTGTATAAGATTTTTATCTTTTGAAATGTGGGCTTAGAAAGGATGATTTCAGAGGTTTTAATCAAAGGATGCGGAATGTTTCAAGCTTGCTTGAACTGCAATGAAACTGGGCCATGAAAAAAAAATGCTGTGATATGTTACAGCTTGATCACTCTGCTTTATCTCAGTTTCCTCTTATGAGAAGCACAGATTGCGTCCATAGGGTAATCTGGGATTCACACTTTCTTGAACATGCAAAGAAATCACATTTCTGGAAAAAAAAACTTGCAGAAAAGTGACCATATTACGTATACTGTATGTGCTTGTCTCCTAATAGGGCCGAGATTCATAGTTCCATGCTTAAACTCTTAAAAAAAGGGACACAAATTCTAAAAGCTACATAAAAGGATCTTTTTCCTCATTTCTTTTAGTCTTTATGTGCATTTCTTTATTTTTTAGGATACAAAGTATCCTTTTAGTTTTTTACCCTGGAACCAAGAAGTGGAAGTGGAAGTGGAAGGAAAGGAATCCATGGTTTTTACTCACCTGTCGCTATGCAAAACCTGAAAAGTATAAATTAAGACACTCTGGATAACTAAATAAAATATCCATATCCTAATCTCTGAACATTCCCTGCATTGTTCAGTTCATCATCTTATGGAACAAAAGAAACTACTCAAGAGAGAAAAACCTTAAACCAACAGACTGGTCAAGAGCATTTAACAGATAAGCAGTAAACAGGTTGTTGGAACCTCTGCAGCAATCTTCCACGGCTCAGGTAGAAGAATTTCTTAACATGACAGCTACAGTGTTGCACAAAACTAAGAGCATCGAGGCGACTGTTGAAAGACTTTGTATGCCAAGTCTAAAGTTTGCCTCCATCCATGCAGGGGGACCAACAAACCAAACATTCTGGTCAGATCAGACCAGTACTGAACCTTTTCAATACATACAAACCCATACGAATTGTTGTAAACCAACAGCAAACATTACCCTAAACAAATTATGCCAACCATAAAAAGCATGGGGACGTTTTATTCAGCAGGAAGATTTTCAGAGTTGATGGTGTGATTGATGGAGGTAAATGCAGAGCAGGAGGACACCTATTTGAGGCAGCAAACAACTTCAGACTGGGAATGAGGACAACAACCCTACTAACACAGCTAGAGTAGGATGGTTTTAGCGTGTTTCGTATGCTTGCTTTAAACTTACCTCTTCAAATAAGCATCTTGGTCTTGTTTGTGAGTGAGGGGGAAAATTGAGTGAAGAGAAAGCTGAGCAGAAACTTTCCATTTAACGTCGTCCTAGGTTTGACTATCATCATGAAATCTGGGTCATGACTAGAAGAATGAGATCCCTGATACATGCAGCTGAAATACACGTCCTCCTTAGGGTGGCTGTAGATTCCTTCATGCATCACAATGTACCTAATCTATTAAGATCTGGTCAATTTAGCCTAATTCATTTTCTATTCCAAAGCCAAAGAAGTTCTTCTAGCAGTTTTAGTAGATCAGTGGCATTAGAGGCAGGCTGAGGAGCTTGTAGTCATGCTGCTGCTGCTGCTCCTCCACATCGAGAGGAGCTCGTAGCTAAGGCACCTGCTCCAGGTGCCCCCTTGATGCCTCCTCTTCAGACACGTCCCACCAGCAGAAAGCCTGGGGCACCCTGGAGGGACCATGTCTCTCAGCTGGCCTTGGATGCCTCCTAAAAGGAAGTGTGGTTGTTTCTGCTTAGACTGCTGACCCGGTGACCAGCACAGGATAGAGTGGCAGTCTTCGAGGGTAGGAACATGATAAATTATGGGAAACCTTTGCAAAGGTCACCATTCTCCTTAATCCTTATCCACCTACTGCAGAAACTGTCCATGGTAGTTTTAGCATTAGAAGACATGAAAAAAAAAAGTTGAAATGAAGTTTTATAACTCCATTACCATGTCAACTAACGGTGGACCAAGTCCATTTTGGACTCCATATTGTATATGTAAATATGTGATAAAATATAAACACAGTTCAATGCTTTTGAATATTATAAACTGGAAATGCATTTGACTCTTTTCCTGTATCAGTTGTATTGAGGAAACATTCCTACTTGTTCTTTGCCTCTTCTGTATATCAACTCCCATCGTCCTCATTCAGCTCTACTTCCACCTCTTTCAGCATTGTCTACTTGCTGTAGTTTGTAATGGAGTCATTGATTAAATTTCAAAAACATGTCTGTACATAAATAAACCAAAGGAGGTCTCCCAAAACAAACATTTTTAATCTTCCAGATATCTTCCTATTCAATTTGTATGTCCTTGACCCATAAGATTGCAGGTTTCTGATGGTTTCTTAGCAACCAGCATTAGCTCCACCATCATCCATCTTTTGTTATTACACTACTTCAGTTTCTGGCACATTACTAAACACACTCAAAACCATAACCCTGATATGACTGGAAAATCTCAGGTAAGATTTTGTACGGATGCTGGTTTTCACTTCTGATGATTTGCAAATTTTAACTTTTAACTGCCTGGTCAACCAAATGGTTGAATATTAGCACAGCAAAATACAGGTTGGAGGATGGCAAGGCAGTGATAGGGTTAACATAACATCACAACGTTCATATTTTAACATGTAAAATACTCAAATAGGACTAAAGAGCTTGTTAGTTTTTTTCAGTAGTACTTCTATTTACCCAGGATCAGTTGGACCCCCCAAATTTGTCTATTTCTCATAATGAAAATGCATATGGACATTTTTTTTGTTAATAAAATGCTCCAGGTTAAAACTAAACAGGTTATTCTGGTGTGTTTTGTGGAATCTGATTTTTGAAGCTTCAAGAAAATAAGATGTATTGGCTTTTTAGCTATTTATTTATGAGGTAGGGGACCTCAGTAGAGTGTCAGAATAATACACAATGGAATAGCTTTATTCTGGTCACCAGCATGATCTCACCCTGCTGTCCCATATCTCAACCAGCTTTTTTTTTAAGTCTCTGCCATGTAGACCCATAGGCAGGCCTCGAGTCTTCTATAACCCCCAAATTTTGAAGGTATACCTCGATAAATCCTGCTCTCTTTGGTCCCAGAGTGGAAAAATTGGATTGCCACTGCCTACAGATTCATATTGATCTACGTCTGTGTGCATTGTTATTGCCTCAAATAGTAATAAGACCTGTTTGTTTGTTTTTCTTCAGTGGTAAAGATGCCACCTTACATCATCTTCATCCAAACATCTAAACTTTTTGGCACAACCCATGAATGTATTTTCTTTTTATTTACTGAATATTGCTCTATTTAAACAGAAATAAACCGACTTTTAAATGGAAACACATTTATGAGGCTTTGTGATACACACCAAAACCTCACTAAATGTCTTTCATTTTAGGCTAGGTTTATAAAAGGGATGGAAAAAACATTTCTGGGGTTAAATTCTGGGAAAATGTTTAAAGACAATTCATCTCAACTTCAAGTAGCAGCCCACTAGACGTATATATGGGACCCTCAATGTCAAACAAATACCCATTTAATAATTTTTAAGCATGCATAAGTTAAATAAGACATATGTGATAGCAATAAAAGAAACAACAGTCACACCCAAGTTTATTCGTTGAATATATTATTTTATTTTAACGTCATCATCATAGTTTAACTTTTAATTTTCCCTTCATTCATTTAAAATGATCACCTCTTAATGTACACATACTGCAAACTGTCAAAAATATACAAACAAATGCAGGCTTGTGCTATAGTCTGGTCAAATGTTTAAAAAACAGTGGCACTGGAAGGAGAGACGGAGACAGAGACAGAAAGAGAGAGAGACCAAAGGTAGGAGAGAGAGAGAAAAAGACACTGAAACCGGTAAAGACATGCACAGCATCATAGGGAGCACCGGCAGCGGTGATCCAGGTGCGCGGAACCTCATGGAAAAAGTTCATACATTTCCTCGTCTGACAGTGGGTCACAAAACGCCCGCCACATATCGGATTAAAAACAAAATGCTGCTTGTTAATGGAACTCTTAGGCACATCATTGTTTTTTTTTTTTCCGTTTTATATTTTCTGTAAAAGTCTGTAAATGAAGAATGTTTTAACAAAAAAGAAAGAAAACAGATAAAAAAAAGAAAAAAAAAAACAGCTTTCAAAAGTCCTTTTGGAATCACTTTTGTTAGTAACTCAACACAGTTACATAATTTGTGTATGAATGCATGTAGTTAAGGTATGTATTTCAGTGTGTGTGTGTTTTGTGTGTGTGTGTGTGTGTGGTGCTTTCTATGAGTACGAGAACACAAGTTGGTGCATTCCTGTAGAACCGATAATGGAAGTGAGTACTTGAGGTGCTGTGTGAGTGGTATCAATGATTGGCTGAGAGCTGACCAATCAGATGCTCAGGTCTTTGGGATTATCCTTGTAGGTCTTCTTAGGCTCAGGGATCATAGGCTTGGTTTGGCGGCTGGTGTCTGACTTGAGTGTGCTGTAGTACTCTCTCACCTTAGCCGCAACAAAATGATCGTCATCTTCTTCATCCTCCGAGTCGTCCCTCCTGGCTGGGGAGATGGCCCGTCCAAGGCTGCGAGCACGGTATCGGGGTTCAGGGGTGCTACCTCGACTGGCAAAGAGCCCATCCCTCTCAACCATCTCAGGAGTACGCCCTCTCAACAGGGAGGTGTACTTCTGGTAGGATGAATCAAAATCAGGGGTGCGGACTCTGGGCAGGGTGACGTCTTTGAAGTTGTCACGGGATGCCATGCCAAGTCTGTCTCCTCTGTAGGCTCTTTCCATGGAGGAGGTTCTCATTAGAAGACTGTCCTGCCCGTAGAGACGATCCTCTCTCTGTAGTGGTGGAAGTGAAAGAGTGGGGTCCCTGTTCAGGCGGTCCAGGGCCGGCGACTCCCGAAGGATACTCTCTTCAAAAGGGAGGCTTGGTTCTGGAGTCCCGGTCATTGCAGCCTCATCTACCGTTGGCTTTTCATTGTTTCTCTCAGTGGCGGTATAACGGTAGGGGTCTGCAGAGCGGTGGCGATGTCTGTTTGGAGAGTGGTAGCGGTTGGGGGACCTGTGGCGATGAGGAGAACGTCGAGGAGAGTGGCGATGAGAGCGGTAAGGGGAGCGTCTAGGAGAGCGGTATGGGGAGCGTCGGTATGGTGAGCGGGTTGGAGAGCGGCGATAAGGGGAGCGTCGAGGAGAGCCGTGGCGGTGGTTCGAGGAGTGTTGGCCGTGGCGCCGTTCTGGTGAACGGCCTCGGCGGTGCCCTCTATCACGGCTATCCAGCATGTTGTCTGCACTACGTGAACGGCCCTGCCCCCTATGAGGCGAGCGGTGGCGGCTTCGATGCCGATGGCCTTCTTTTTCCTTGTCATCCTTTTTCTTATTCTGCTTGTGTCCATGCCTTCCTTTAGACTTCTTCCCTTTGGATTTGCTAGGGGAGTGATGACGATGATGGGAACGATGGGGCTTGCCAGTGCCATGGGTGCGACGGCTCGGCTCCGTTTTGCTCCGTGAATGAGGTGGGGGTTCTGGTGGGAAGCTGGACTCTGATGGTGCATTAGTTAGAGGCAGGGAACTCACTTCCGCAGCGTTTTGTATCCTTGTGACTGGGTCAACTGTGCTGATGTCGTTGGGGCTGCCGTCTGCAACACAGTTTGACAAACAGATGAGGCTAGAGTGTTCAAACATGGATCTACACACAAGACTCCACAGACTTTGACAAAAATCATGCTGACTCAGTTAGACATGAAGCTGAGAACATTTCTAATGGAAGCCAATCTGATGTTAAGCAAATGTCAGATGACACAAGTAGCCAATGACAGCTAAAAGAAAAGAAATTATGGAGAGGCAGCCAGTGAATAAAAAGGATCCGTTACCAAAACAAACCTGTTCCTTGACCTGGAGAAGGTTACATCTCAGAAGAAATGGGGCTGGACTCCTCAGGATGAAATGTCCTACATGCAATCAAAGCTGCTGAATTGTGTCGACGATTCATACACTGTGAACTGTTACTCTTGGTAATTTTAATCTAAATACCTAGAAACTATGAATATCCCCACACGTACGATTATCGAAACATATTTGTAGTCTGCTTGAAATGCATGTTGCAAAAAAAAAACCCATTCAGCATTCAAAACTTAGAAAAATGATCAATAATTACACTCTCACAGCTTTTAAATAATTAGTTTGACACCATTACTTGAATTTCTGGTGAAAACAAAGATGACAAAGAGTCAGTGTTTAACTTGAAGCTCCCCTTTCCAAATTCAAAACCTAAAGAGTCAAATCAAAGCTGGATGATTCATCGCTCTTATCACTTTTATATCGTTTTTCATCTTTATATTTTGACCTCAAATCTGCTAATCTATACAGTAAAAAACAAGTTTTAGTTAAGTTAACCTTTTCAAATAACATTTGGTCCCACTATAAATGAATGTAAAACTTATCCTATAGCCACTCTTCAGTTAATTTCACTAATTGTAGTTTCAAAATCCAGAAGAACTCTCAGAGATTGGTGGTAATTGACACTATACAGAGTAAAAGTTACACTGCATAGCTGTCAAGTTTTAACATACTATCAACTCCAACACTTGAGCAGATTTAAACTGAGTATAACTGCAAATACTCTATTTAGAGTAAAACAGGTACAATTTGAATTTTTAACACCCAGTTTTTCACTATGCCACTATTTGCTTTTCTGCCTGTGCTCCCAACTGAGGGAAAATAAAGGATATTTCTAGTCTTAGTTCAGAACTCATGGGAACGTCTCAGCGCTTCAAAGCTTTTAATTTAATTGATAAAGATCTGGACACAGAAGCAAGGTTATTGTTTAACTGATCACAACATCTTCACAACTAAAACACTCTAATTTACACTGACTCTCATTTAAACCATTGGATCGACTTATTCCACATAAAGGAGATCCAGCAAAATTAAACTAAAGGACCATTTTACTTTTAATTTAGTTTTATTTTTCTTACAGAGTCTAATCCATGGGTCGTCAGAATTTAATATCAGGTGAAAATGTTTTTTTTGTTTTTGCTGTTGAAATGCAGCAGTACTTGTTGCTTAAGGAACAAACCTATTTTTTAAGTTGTTTTCTGACTTATTTTCTACAATTAGACCAGCAAGCAGAAATAAATTCTAAAACAGAAAACCTCTGCAATGGATTCAAAATAGTTTGATTCATCATGGCACCACTATAGCAATAATTATCAAAACCCTCCCATTCATCTCTAGTCTGAGCTGCCTTTGATCTTTTATCTCTAAAAACATTTCATCTGGGTAATTCTAGTATACTGGAATGAAAACAGACTTATTGTTATTTTCTAACATAAGGACTATCTTGAGAGCAATAAAGAACATTTCCTAAAGGGTGATGTTTATGCTGTTACGAAGCACAAACAGTTGAAAAATGCATGGTTTTTCTCATTCTGAAATGTTTTATGCTTTTAATTTACTCCCTTTTTTATTTGGATTTAGATATATTAAAATTCTTCAAAGATTGAAGTTATATTTGGAACCAGATCCAATAAAAGACCACTCATTTACTGGACTTCTGTCTTATTCTGGTCTTCTATCAGCTGCTGATTTTAGGGAACGCCACTGCATTGTTTGCCTCCGTCCTCTGAACATTCTCGACAAAAATCCTTCAGTTTAACTTTTACTAAAACGTGCCTAAAAAAAACTGCATCAATCATCGAGTGGAGGTCCCTGGGAGCTATCGCTATGCACAGAGAAGACACTTCTCAAACCAGTACTTTGCACCTAATTTTCAGATTTGCAGACTTTAAAACCAAAATGAAGAGCAGGAGGTGCGCAGCGTCAACACCAGCAAAGCGTTTGGATGAACGGCTGTATATGCATGGAGCAGAGCACAGGCATGAGTGATCTGAGGCCACAGCACACACACCAGGAAGAAGAGAGAAAGAGACGGGGAAAGCCAGATAACAGAGGAGGACGGTCACAAACCGTGGTCGGATTTTGGAGGACAGAGGCCTCCCCCATCTTGTCATTTCTCACACTTGCTGTGAGATGGGGAGCGGCCATCCCTGAAGGAAGACAAGAGCCCCGCGCAACACACAGAGAGGAGAGCATACACAAAAACAGAAAAAAACAAAAACAAAAAAAAAAACAAAACACAAAAGTTTAGATTGATTGGAACCAACTGGAAAAAAGACAAGGGAGAATTACAGATTGTGTTGATTCTTATTGGAAAAAAAGTGTTTATTTAATCATTCAGAGTAAAGAGACAGTCCAGGAAGTTGCCCAAACCCTTCAGTGAAAGCCACCAGTTACACAGAACAGTGACAGCCCCCACCACCACAACTCAAACACACACTCAACCACACACACACACACACACACACTTGGACATGTTGACAATGAAGCAGCAGAAAAAATAAATTCAAATCCTGAAAATCAAAAGAAGAAACACTGGCAAAGCTGGCAAAAAGGTTTCTGTCAACTTAAAAAAAATAATAATAATACAAACAATGGTCAAAAATATACAAAGTTCTCATGACGCCATATCGATTCAGATAATTGCAAATAAACATACACAAGCAAATGTCTTTCCACTCAAAAAGAAAAAGACGAAAAAAGCAAGACAATGAAAAATGTCCATGACTGTTGACTATCAATCAAAACCTTTTCTATACAACAATTAAAAAAAGAAAGGTTCCATAAATATTATGGAAAATCGACAATAGAAGGGGGGCGAAAAAACTTCAAGTTGACACTCTTGACACGTTCATGCAGCAATAAACTTTTTCTCCATTTATATGTGGCTTTGATTCATGGCTCTATACAATGAACAAAAATACTTGTAAAAATGTCTTTTCATTTCATCACTGTACAAAAGCTTTATATAAGCGCCACAGCCTGGTTTCTTTTTACACTGGGATGTGTGGAGTCAGGTGTTTTGAATCTTCACAGCATTTTAATGACACTGACAATGAGTGAGGAATGTCAAGCACAGCAAAGCGGAAAATAAAGAGCAAAAATGGCATCTAGAGAAACTAGGATCTGATCAAAGTGTACATTTAAGTCAAATAGTGAAACTGGGTTTAAACAGGACTCATTACAGACAGTGATATATTTCAAGTTTTTATTTCTGTAACCTTTGATGATTCAGGTGGACTGCTAAAAAATTCAATTCAGTTTCTAAGAAAATCTAACTAGTATTTTTATGAAAAGTTACATTATGGCAGTGCTGTTTGCTGCTTAATTAGTCCAACTCACTGTCTTTGAAACTCTGAACAAGGAGGAATAGCTACAAAAAGGCCACTATTAAAGAATCTGGCTGATTACAGTGCAAATCAATGCAGAGCTGACGGGAAGAAAAAAAACTAAGGTACAAAATAGGGGGCACCTACACCAGGACATTTTCCAGGCATTGACAGATTGGACACTGGCTATTAACAAGAACAGGAAGCTATTTCAAAATGAAACCACTGAGAAAATATTAGCTGTGTCTCAACAAGACTGAGGTGAAAAAGACCAGCTGCACAGTTGTCAAATTCTCTCTTTAAAAAAATCAAAGAGTAAAGGTCAATGGGTAACGGAGGAGAAGCGGACAGACATGAAGGTTTTGATCAATGGAGCCGTTTTGTCTTTTTGAGTCTCCCAGGATATTTAGCTGTATTTCATGCTTCCTCTTTTTCCTCACAAGCTATTAGAACATTTTAATTTCTCAGTGAGAGCTGGCACCTACCCACAATAACAACATATAGATTCCTGCTCTGTAGGGTGGCCGAGGAGGTTCTGAGTTCAAGTCCTGCACACTCCAACAGACTGCCACTCTGGGTCCCTGAGCAAGACCCTTAACAGTGGACAGCACCAACAGTGCCCCCCAAGGGGAGGGGTTAAATGCAGGGGTTAAATTCCCCATTGTTGGACAATAAAGAACTTCCAATATTAATGCCCAAGATATCAAAGGTCCATCATCGCTAACAAGCTACAGGCTTCTGTTAGAGCCAGCTGGGCTTCCTAATCACCCACTCAGAGCCACCGGCTGATCACCGCTACAGAAATAAAGACCTGAAATATATCACTTTATGTGCAATTCATCTATATGATTTCGAACTAAATTAGATGTTGACTTTTAAAAGATAGTTCCATTTATTGGATGTGCTTGTATTAGGCTGCCTCTTCGTTTTCTTACAGTTTTCACTTCAACCCTTTAGGAGTTCAGTAGCTTACATTCACCTCCAATAAATATCATAAATATGTTTGTGTCACAATGAAGCCATGCTGTGAGGCGTCCCATCGTTTACGGGAAGCATAGAATCAAGTTTGTCCTTTTCTTGTAATGCTGAACTGGTGTTTAATAATAAGCTAGAGCAATATATGTCACTTCTTACTTAGAAAAAAAAAAGATTTTTTTTTTTTTTTCCATCCTCCTCTGGTCATTCAAACCTGTAAACACTAAACGTTGCACTGAAATTAGGCCCAGCACCTTTCTGTAAAGTCCCAACAGTGTGCTTTAGATGAGCGGCCCAGAAGGTGGAAAGTGACAGCGGGATGAGATGGAAACTGAGAGCAGGCGACAGCAGGAGGGCCAACAGCACCCAAAGGAGCACCCTCTCAGCTCCTTTGCACCAGAATCCAAAAGCACAGGAGTGACCTTCACCACAGAGAGACTTTAAAGCCAAGCAAAACCTCCTTCCTGTCCTGTCCTGTCCTGGGTGAGCGGTTCAGTTCTTTGCCCCTTCAAACCCCACCACCGTCCAGCTCAGGGTGTGAAGATGGGGGAGAAGGGAATGTTTTCGTAGATTGACCCACCATATTCAGGCACGGAGCCGTCACCCCTCTTGAGCACCAGGTGGACGTTTCGGCCTCCGTTCTTGATGAGCTCGATGGCCCGTGCGTGCTTCATGCCTTTGGTGCTTTCGCCGTTGATCTCCAAGATCTCATCTCCAACCTGCGGGAACAAGGTGGGGGGAGATGAGGAGAGGCAGAGTGACATGTGAGGAGGGGAAGCAGAAAAACGAGAGGAGACAGTGGCAGGAAAACAAATGACAGGAGGGAAGGAAGGAAGGAAGGAAGGAAGGAAGGAAGGAAGGAAGGAAGGAAGGAAGGAAGGAAGGAAGGACAGAGACGTGAAAGAAGGAGGTTCAGAAAGACGTTGTCAGAAACACGGAGGGAAGGGGTGGACAAGTTGACAACAAGTTACATTTTGAAATCCGACTGATAAAAATTCACTGAAGCCACTTTTTTCCCTGCTTTTCTTCAACAGTTTTACAGAAAGCAAATCAAAAGGCAGAAACTGTGACGCCGAGAGACGGGAGGGAAAACAGGAAGCAGGAAGAAACATTTTTGGTTTTCTTGAACACCCCCCGCCCCCCCCAGGTTAGCTGTCAGAGCAGCTGGCACCAGGGGAATACTGCTTTGGCAGCGAGCAGCTCTCTGTCTGACACATCTCTCTGCCTCACAGAACTGCTGCTGCTGCTATTAATAATTCTTCTAAATAAGCTGCACTCAAAAAACTGCAGGGTTCAGACATGCATGTACAAATGCTCCAATTACACCAACTTACTGTCTTTCCTTACTGAGCAGAGCGAAAATCAATTAGCTTTCTAATTTGTGCAGGATCTTTCAGAGTTCTCAGCACGGTCTGACAAGCAAACACATTGGGAGACTCTTAAAAAGATGTATCTGCATATTGTTTACCCAGCCCATCGTGCTTATTGTAACACACCCTGCATAATGGCAGCTGTGGCATTATGGATGCCAATTTATAAGCTTCTACTGAGAAAGTAACTCGGCGAATCAGGATTATACTCCTTAATGATGCTGCAACAATGACAGGTGCTGTTATCACACTACAGCTCAGCTTTAAAAGGGATAAAAAAAAAGAAAAACTTTTGAACTTATCATAGCAGCCAGCATTTTAAAGCCCTCATAATGACCCCTCCCCTCCCATTGATTAGCAATTGGATCGATATCTTTGGGCTTTATCTGAACCGATTCTGTTACAAAAGACCCTCTCTTGTATTTTCTATCAATGTGAGGACAGTTACTACCCCACTAATTCACCTGTTAACATCAGCTGGTTGCACTTTGAAAACGCCCAACTAAATGTATTAAGTAAGTCTTTGCATCAAAGTCAAAACAGCAAAAAGAAATGTCATGACATCATAATAACTCTATAAATCATTAAGTTTAGTTTACTTTCCAGCAGCAGTAGGATTAAATGCAGCATTTTAATTTTATATAAAATAAATTGGATCATCTTAAATGGTTTGTTCTTAATTTATTCGGTAAACATCATCATAATCATACCATAAGACTGCCATACATACAGCATAACAGTACATATATATGTACTGATTAGGGGGAATTGTGCGACACCCCCCAATGTCCATTCCTGGCTTATACTATTAGACTGAAGACTGTGTTGCAGACGAGAGCTAAAGCCAAAGGGGCACGATTTTTCGATGGCACCTTAAAAAACTGGTTTCGTACCTTAAAAATTGTTAAGAATCTAAAAAAACAAACATAGATGCCCTGTTAAGATACTGTATGCTGCAGAGCTGTGTGTGAAAGAAAACCACACATCTCTAATCAGATTATATAGAGATATTATCGTCAGACTTGATTAAATTTGCTCCATTCTGTATAATAAACAGGCTATTAGTGTCACTATATCACAGTCACAAAAAAATTAAACAAATTTCTTCAATCTAATTCCTCAAACACGTTTTTAATGACTATGAAATACGAAGTGAGAGCTGGGATTAATTTGGCTGAATTGAAGCTCAGGAGACTAAGGCAGGCCTTTAGAAAAAAAAAAAAAAAAAAACACTTCTAAGGGAACGAGTATTGTGGTTTCAGACCGAGCGAACATGTAGACTAATGTTTTGGGATCTGTTCCAGGTAAAATTAAACAGCACCGTCACTGCTGCAGGAAAAAGGGCATAAACACAATTCATCATCAACATTTATCACTGTTTAATTTGAGAGACAATCCTCATTGAAAAAGCTGACTCACATTTCAAATATCATCTACAATTCATAGGAAAAACAATCCAGACACAACATTTACTGGAGGAGAGAGAAAACTAACCCTAACTCTATAATCTGGAAAAAGATTTTTTTTTTTTTTTTTGCCGACTAAGAAAAGCAAACTTCATGTTTGATGAAACAAGGATGTTTATGAACCTTTTGGTTTCCTTTTGTGAGAATTCTTGGTACTAGGTGTTGGTTTTTCCTAATTTGTATTATAGGTGTTGAAGATTAATTCCTTAATCTAAGGAATCGGGGGTTTTCTTTATCAACAAAGTGAAATCAAGTCAAATAAACAATAAGGATTTGAACATTTTAGGGGCAATATAATTAAAAACTGGATATAAAAGGTTGTAGACCCCTGGGTTAGAACCTTTTACTCAAAGAGCCATTTTGACCTGAATTGGACCAAGTAAAAGTCGTTTAGAACTTCAAAATGTTAATTATTTGCCATATAAAAATCTGTTGCCACTGCAAACAGCCAACAGTATATTTTTATATTGAGCTTTTAAAATGATAAAGTATGGAATTTCTTTTATTTGATGTAAAATGATAATAATATAACAAAATTTCCTAAGCTAAATAAAATAAAAATAGCTCTAAAAGCTATTGCTTTTAATGTCACTGTGTAGTGAAACTTCTATTAAAATATTTTTTTATAAAAACCAATAATGCTTTTAAGGCAGGTATTTGTTAATTTAGTACATTAGTTTGTTGTTTATATAATTTGTAGCCCTTATTAAGAGCCAGTGTAGAGAGTCTAATGAGCCGCAGGTTGCAGACCCCTGTCTTAATTGAACATCATTACTGAGCGAGTTTATAGAGCTAAAATAACTAGACTACTGTGGATCGCATCAGGAGAGGTGTCTAAAATACATTGTTTCTTATAAACTTTCAGTTTATCTGGTGCAATTTCATATTTTATGCGAATCCAAACGATATCGAGAACAAAAGGTCTTGGATTTGTGGTGTAGACACATGGAGCTTCTGCGATAACGTGTCCATACCCTCATTTTCCCATTGCGAACAGCAGCTCCTTCTTCAGCAAGCCTCAGCACGTACAGGTCCATGTTGTACTCTCTTCCTCCCCGCAGGCTGAAGCCAAAGCCTTTGTTGTCCCTCTCCAGGTCCACAGAGTAGAACTCGGAGTCCTGTGAGGAAGCATGGACATTAATAGGGAGACGAGAAGAAACAGATGTGTTGGTGTCAAGGTCATGTATTTGTGATTCGTGTGGGTTTTTTTTTAAAACTGGCTCCAATTTCAAGAGCAAGGGACAAATGTCACCTCCAGGAACGACACACCCAGTTAGCAGATGTGCCAGAATGTGTGTGGGGGGGTGTTTGTGTGTGTGCATATGCTCAGGTGTAAGGATGCTGAATTATTGATGCTTTGGGCTCTAGGCATACAAGAGCCAGACTGGGCAGCGCAAGGACAGGCAGACAGTCTGCAGCTTTGTCTTCATGCCCTCCTAATCTCCTCTGCAGAGGGATCAATGTTATCTAGGAGAGCCATCTCCACAACAGCAGATTAATTCAGCGGTGAACACAATGGACTGAGGAGGTACTTTGAAAGTAAACAGGCTCTTCTTAAACGCTCAGACTCAGCCGCCGATCACACAGAGATAGATAAATAAAAATGCCCCCGTTTGTCCTTGAGAAGGTGGGTGGGAGTATGAGCTGGAGGGGAGGGGAAGGAGCTCGATGTGTGCTTAGATGTTCTAGCCGCTCGAGTGGATGAGTGACAAGACAATGGGGATTTGGTTAGAAATGGTGAGTGCTTGATGGAGACATGAAACGGTTGAATGGACAGGTGAACGACTGGTGTGTTTTTACATACCTGAGCTGAGTCTTGCTGGATGGGGGGCTGGGGAGCAGTGTTCGTAGGAGCTTTAAACTCATAAGATTCCTGTTTTGGTTTAGTGTTGGTCCTGAAAGTAAGAAAACAGTAAGTTACAGTTTGAGTTAATAAGTTAATCAGAAAGGATTTGATCAGACTCGGTCCACAGCAAACTTTGCAGAGGGATGCTCACCTGGCCTCAGGTGCTGCCTGTTGCTGAGCTGTGTGAGTGGTGGTTATGGTGGCAATCTTCTCTGCATTTGTCAACAAAGATGCATTGGATGACTCTGTAGGAATGAGACCAAAGGAAAGATTATAATCACAGTTTGAGAATCAAAACCCTCAGAGATCGCAGACCTGCCCAAAGCAGCAGATTTTGCACCATATTGTGACTTACACCTTTGATCTGGATCATTACAAAATTTTAATGAATTGGTACTGGGCAAGAGGCGCACCTCTGGTAGAAATTTCCTCAATTTCTTTTCTTAACTTTTCAAGCTGCTTTCTTCTTTGATCAACAGAGCAAGACTTCAAGAGAGATGTAGCTCCCTTTTCTTCTGTTTTTTATGTTTGTCTCTAGAATAATACTTAAGGACCTTTTGAGTCCTATGTTTAAGTTATCAAATGTCACTGCTGATCCCTCTGGTTTATGGTGGAACTGCTTGTTCCGCAAAATAATGTTGGTATCCCCGAGTTTCTTTATCTGGATTATGATCTGGATCATCAAGAAAATGTACCTGATTGTTACTTGGCATGAGGTAAACATTTCATTATAATCTGTTCAAAACTTTTCAAGTAATCCTGCGGACTAATGTGACCAAAACCTTCCCTTTATTACCACCGCTAAGGTGGTAATACAGGGAAGGTGGAAGCAAACCAACCAGACAAGAAGATAACTTTAAATATAAAATTCAGTCCAAACTATCCTTGACCATCTTTCCTTGACCAGTTCCAATTTCAAAAAAAAAAAAAGCTAAACCAAAAGTGGTGTCTGGCCCTTTGTAGGGAGGAGCAGAGGGATAGAAAGATTTAAGCAGTAGTTATCCACCGTGGTTTCCAAAATTTCTTCCTTTTTCAGAGTTTGTTTTGCTCCACCTGCCTAATTCAAATTGCATTACCCAGTCACCATTTCACCTGCCTGCACCTGAACTCTGGATATTCTTTAACACTTCCCATGAACCCCTCTCTGTTCAGAGAACATAAAACCTTCCTCATACGTTTGCCTTTTCCTGATGTAGCATAAATCCATAATTTACTGTATTTGCATAATCGAGGCCTATCTGGCGTTCCAGGAGACTGTGATGGATTAAATCAATCTTTCACACTGGGAACATTTCCTCCCTTTCAGTTTGAACACTTGTGGCCATTCAGCAGCTGTCAGCTACAAACATTAGCTGACCCAAAGAAAGCCCTGCAGCTCCACCTGCAGCTTCTTAGAAACCACCCAGGAGACCTGCATAAAACAGCAGCTTTTGCTGTCAATCATCTTCTGAAAGCACCTGTCACTTTTCACTTCCACATGAAAGGTGTGCATCTCATTTTCTGGCTTGGAACCGATTGTCTGACACAAACGCTCCTGGTTTTTCTGATGTGTGCAGTTTTTCGTTTTATGAAAACACAAAGCAAACATTCCTGCTGCATTAAGGAAGGCCTCTACACCATGTAGGCGTTCCTCCTGCAGCCAGCTGGGTACTCTATAAATCTGCCTCGGGCCATTTCTCCCACAGTCGACTTCACTTTGCAGTATTCATCTCTTTCTCTTCCACAGATAAGATCGGTCGGGAGAAGTTTTCTCTCAGATTAAATGTTAGCTTTTGCAGATCCATAACGATCATAAAAATCTATTAACCCTCCCCGTCTTCCCCTGCTTCTCTTCCCCAACCGTTTCCTGTCAGTCTTTCCACTCTGCATGGGAACCAGTACCTTTCATCAAAAATCAGTCATAAACAGTTTTTATTTCACTTTTCTCTTAGTTTATAGATCTATACTCCTAAACCCAAAGGAGAAAAGAAAAAAGGAAAAGGTAACATACAAAAGGAAAAAAAAACTGACTACTTTAGTGAAGCATTTAAACCTTTTGAGCATTTGTCATTTTGAACCAACAAACTCTCCTTGTATTCTACTTGGATTTTTTTTAAAAGGCAGACCAACCAAGCAGTGCATGAGTGGAAAAAAATGACACATTATTTCTGAATTTCTTTTATACATTAACTGTGTAAAATTTAGTGCATTTTATTCCTGCATACAAAACACTTTGTGCCTGAATACAGAGCAAATCAGCTGTGCACTGAATGAGACTTAAAACTGGGGAGACTTAATATATACAGCTAGAAATGCAATGAAATGACCGAGATCAGAGAATGTTTACTTGGAAGAATGGCCTAGACAAAGTCCAAATCTAGGTACAAGCAAGTATTCCTGGCAAGACTTAAAAAAACTAATGTTTACTGATCACCCCAAAACAATCAGACAAAGCTGGAGGTATTTTGGAAATAGGAACGAGTGGAAAAATTCAAAGCAGTAAATGTAACCTCAGTGGAAATGAAAGGAGATTCTACAAAACACAGACTGATGGGCACTAAATACAAATGCAAACACATTTTATAGCTTTACTAGTAATAATACTAAGAAAAAAAATGTTTCCTTTTTCCTTCATATTAACACACTACCAATGTCCTGGAATAACCAGAAAGCAAACCTGCACATTAGAGAAAGAACAGCTGAACTGTGGAAGAAGCTCTTCCTGCGGTAACAGCCTCAGACATTTCATAGATCCACCAAAAAAAAAAAAAAAAAACACTCGTAAACAGAGGCAGGGAGATCCATTTAGAAGCTCTACTTCTAAAATCAAACCTCAGTCTTTTCAAAGCCCTCCACAGCAGACAGTCTGGTTGACACATGCTCATAAAAACAAACAGGAACTTTCCTGTAAAGCATATCTAGTTATTTCTTCCTAGTGCTTTCTCGCAAGCCCTGCGCGTCTTTTTGTCAGGGCAATTTCCTCTCACTGTTCTCATCAAGTTCTCTGGATGTTCATGTGAAGTGAACTGGAAATCAACGATGCGGACAAACGGCTCAATTCTCCAGCGGCTCTCGGATTGATGGGGAGCAACACAAAAACCGTTAATCAGACGCAGTGATTTTTAAGCGAAGCACAACACATAAAATGCACAAGACTCTTTATATAAAGCTAAAGTGACAGATTCACCACGCCCGCACACACGCAGGAAGTTCTAGCTCATTCTTATTCTCTCTTGCACACAAACAAACAAAGAGACAACTAAATTACTCCTGCATGCTCTGAAGGCGAGGGCATGCTAAAGGCAAAACTGCAACTGCTGGGGAAAATTCACAAATAACCCAAAAGAAGCTGCTCTGTCAGGGCGCCATGCTCACTTTAAAAAGGTGAGAAGCTCCAGCTCTACACAACACAGAAGAAAACATGAAAACTATTCAATTTTTCACTTCTCAAAGCATAATTGTGAGAATCAACTTGTTGAAAAAAAGATGAAATCCCAGCGTGAAGCTGCTGCTGCCTACTCACCATCTCCAGGAATGATCCGCAGCGTGACGGTGTTCCCAGCCTCCTTGATCAGGTTGACGATGTCAGAGTGGGACTTGTTGGTGATGGAGTTCCCGTTGACAGCCAGGATGCGGTCGCCCACCTTCAGCTTCCCGCAGCGGTCCGCTGGACTCCCCTCGATGATGCGGCCTATTTTGTGAGGCATGGCCACACATGCATTTCCAGCTTTGGTCAACCATTGACATGTTGTGATGCACGATTCAGTGTGTGTGTGTGTGTTTTTTTGTGTGTTTCAAGAAATGGGGAAAAAGGGGGGGAAAGGAGCAGAGAAAGAGGATCAAGAGAGTTGAGGGTTATTTCACCAGCAGCCCAAAGCAAGCACAGCCAAAGTCACTGAGAGAAGAAGAGCGGATCGACACGTGTCACTGTTATATGCAAAGAGGACCGCATGTAAATCTGATCTGTGGAGGAATCAGACTGGATCATGTTTTTTTTTCATAAAAAAAAAAAAAACCAAAAAAAAATCAAAAAAAGTTTTTTTTTTTTCTTCTAAAGTATGCCTCACTCAATGATTTATGTTTCATATGAGTTTTGATTATTTCACAAGGGTTTCCATTGTTTTCCTCATTAAAATGTTTTTTTTTAGTATTTAGTAGTTTAGTATTTCAAGCTCCAGAAATGTACACAAAATCCACCTAATGTTCAGCAACATATGACTTTGTTAGTTTTTGACCAGTTATTGAAAAACCAAAAAGCTTAACATATCCAAATCTTATTTTTGAATGAGGAGTTTCATTGTCTTAACAAAAACAGAAAAATAGATCTAGAGATGTAGCGTTTTTTTTATATTTTCCCGTCCTTCTTTAATTTCATTCCAAAAAAACTTGTTGAGATATGTGGTTACTGAATTTATTTCAGGATATAAATAATGAGAGTGATGCTGACAGCTGATTTAAGCTAAAACAACAGAAGCATTGATGCAACAGGAATAAGTAAATGAACTTATCTCTGTAAACGGCTCAAACTGAACTGTTTGGTTTATGATTGCCAAACCTAATTCATTATAATTTTTATTTTAATACATTAAATCTACCAATGTCAGACGTTCCTACCTATTAACAGCTTAAATTGTTGAATGTACTGTGATGTTAATAATAACTCAGATGAAGGTTAGAGAGGTATGCTTTCATTCCTAAACAGCATTAATCATTCATCAATTTTTTTAGCCGAATATAAATTTTTGTATAAAGTTTTGCCTCATTGTTTTTCTGTTTTAAAGTTTTCAGTGGAAAAGTAAAGAAAAAAATAACCAAAAACTGAAACAGAAGTTAAAGCAGAATGGGTAAGTAAGGTCATGAGTGCATCTCCATAAAAAGCCTTCTTCCCAGACAAACATCCTGCTGCTAGGCAGTCCCCAGAGTTATGCCAGGAATAGAGAATGAAAAGGCTGAGAGGACGACTCATTTTCTTAGAGGGTATCAACATAGTCTACTCCTAATCTCGATGCAAATCCAGTCAGATGAATTAACACAAATACTCGTGTTGTCAGTTTTTTTTTTTTTTTTTTTGCATCTAGCCAGTGTCCAAAAAAACCAGGCAAACAGAAATTGACTCAAAGAAAGTCAGATTATTTCCCAATCTTAAACAGAAAGTTGAGACGAAAGTTAATTTATGCAAACGCAGAGAATGCTAAAGAAAAGAGAAAAGTCCAGACTCAAGGACCATATCTAATGTATTTTTTAAAATAATCTCTTGTGCATAGAGCAGTGGTTCCAAACTCAAATCCTCAAGGGCCCATTATTTTTGTCCCATCTCCATGAACACCAGAACCAAATGGATAAACCGTCTCCCTAGCATGCAGAGATGCTCTGTGGTGGCTAGCTCTGAGCTAATCTTTAGGTCAGGTGTGTTACAGCAGAGATGTGTCTAATAGCTGCAGAGAACTGGACTTTGAGTCCATTGGCTCAGTGCTATAGCCGGTCAAGGTATGTTTATATAGAAAGCGGGTATGGAAACAGCTTGTATTTGTTGCATCTCAGGTAGCTGTAATCTTAGAGACGAAAAACATACATCAGCGTTGACATTATTCCATCTACCCTCATGTGTTCTCCTGTCTATCTGAGGGATGCAATCAATCTGCTCTTCCTTTTTATTAGTGATTATTTAACCTGTGTAGCACATTTATTGCTTTAATTCTGGCACAAATTTTAGCTATTTGTTAAATCTATCTAAATCAGGTATATGCTGTGTAATATTAAGCGCCAAAGGAACATTTCTTGTGGGAATTTTACTTGTTAAGTCAAAGCAAATAAAGCTCAACTGCTAGTTTGTGCTCTCCGCTCTGCAACTGCAGATTAGAACTTAGCCGCTTTGTGAGAAAACCGGTGATACAGACTATTTTTAAAGACGACAGGAGCAGAGCAGACACTAGAATGGTTCAGCAGAACAGCAACTTTAACTTTTTGTCAGCTTCAAATACAAAAAAAAACAAATTTATTACATTGTCATTTGAGAGACAAACACATTGTAGCATGAAACTAGTCACAGAAACAGCACGGATGCTTGGATTTCAAAATGTCAAATAATGAAGAAAATTCTTAATGTTTGGTGTTCTATGCCAATAAAGTTAGCCTTCAGGAGTAAAGACTTTGTAAACTACAGCTGGTACAACTGGCCATCTTTTAGGGGTGTTTATTAATCCTGGTCCTTCCTAGTTTCTCACACACCGATAACAATTGACAGCAGATTAATGGGGATTACTGAACTGCAATCATCTGAATCAGGTGTGTTGAAGCAGGAAAACATCTAAAACATGCAGAGTAGTGAGTCTTGAGGACAAGGGTTTAAAAATAGTGATTTAGGGTATCTCTCTACCCCTTTTTTTTCGGATTAGCTGGACGTTAGCGTATACTTTGACTGGGCCACTCTAATATATGCTTATGCTCTAACCCTGAGCTGCTAATTATAGCTGTGGCTGTATGTTTAAGGTCATGGCTATGCTTGCAGCTAAACCCCCAACCCACCATTAAGTGATTCTAGCCTCTAACAGTGGTCCTGCTAGGTTTGCCCTGCAGCTCCTGTTATTTCCACTGTTCTCTGACCAATCGGCCTGATCGGTGTAGAAAAAAATGTCAGAGGCTTAATTTCTGCCATTGGGATGCTGGCTGCTCCCCTCAGCCTGCTACTGTGAATAAAGGCCAGTAATGCAGAAAAAAAAACAATAGTTTTAAGATTTACTTTGTTCTTAATTATCATTGAAATGCACTGTATTATTTACTTTTTTTTTTTTACACAAAATAAAACAGGGAGACTGAAACATCATTTCAACTAGATACTCATCTGAAACAGAATTAATTTAAACTCTGACAAACTTATTATGAAAATGTTTTTATAGTGCAATTAAAGAATAAAAGAAATAAATGGAAAAGGGGTATTATATTTTAAAATACCACTAACACCAGATTTGTATTTAAGTTTATGTATATAAAATATGATGTCAGATTTATTATGTGAATGCTACATGTTATTATCAAATAGTCTAAATTCTGTTAGTCCTTATTGTATTTGATCAATTACACCCCATGGGGATTAGTCACCACTTTGGTGGAAACTCATGGAGATCCTAATCAATGAACAAAACTAAACTAAATTCCTAAAGCATGATGTTCATCATTGAACCCGATAGTTTTACATCACAAATACCTTTTTGTATTTAAGCCAAATATTCAGTTTGTGGCCCCTTTTAAACCAAAGCACCTTATGTCACATATTTTAACAGCCTTTAATCAAATTAAATGCAGATGAGCTCTATTTGCAAAGGAAGTGAATTTGCTAGAAAGCAACAGCATAAAGGAGGCCAAAAAAATTCAAACCCCATTTATCATATTTCTATCTGTGATCAGCTTTATAAAATTACGCTTTTTTCTGTCCAGACATATTGAAATGTGTGGTCGCATGTGTAGGAAAATGTGAAAAAGCTCAAAGGGGTATAAGCAATTTTTATGGAACCGTAAACGTGAAATAAGTTAATGGAAAATTGACTTCTTAGAAAATCAAACAATTTAAACAAATTCAAAAAATACCAGTCATAAGGTTAAAAAAGCCAAATGGATTTATATTTATCAGCAATTACACTTTTCAATGTTATCTAAAAACGAAGTGTAAAATAGTTAATATCAATCAAATATGATTGATTCATCTATTCTGCCTTTGGAGAGCTGCATCCTCATTAAGTTGTCATTAGGCTTTTAGTGCCAACCTGCTCTGCTGAAGCAATTTAAGTGGAGCTCAATAATACAGACGCCTTACGTAAGACCCACTTCACTTGTGATCAATTATGAAAGCTTTGTGAGAATGTAGCAGCAGCTGCAGGCGAAGAAAGAGTTTCAGTGTCTAGGTTTGACAGGCTGGAGAGGAAATGAGGCAAGAAAAAAAAAAAAGATGCGCTTCTTTGAAGGCTGTTGATACTGATCTGGTGCGACTGTAAATAGCCAGAATCTTTGCTTGCTGTCAGGCTATTTAGCGCCCAGTGGTTCTTATGACGGTACAAAGAAGTTCCACAAAGCAGACAAAAAAAGATGAAAGAACCCAAAGCTAAGGGGGGAAAAAAAAAGCCCTGGTGTGTGTTTTACTTTGTGCTGGGTAGAACTGTAATGTTTGCACGCAACATCAAAACAAAGCGAATATTCTTTAAGTTCATTAAGCGAAGCGTCTCTTACCGAAGGTGGTGCCAGCTTCAGGCCGCGACACTGATGACACGATGACGAAACCGAACCCTTCATTCTCGCCCCGTCGGATCTCCACGTCGTAGGGCTGAACGGCCGAGGCGGGGGCAGCGTTTGTGGTGCCGTTGGGAGGCTGAGAGGATGTGGTCGCAACCGTCGAGGCGGAAACCACAGCATTCCCAGTGACGCCGGCCCCCCCGCCTCCCCCTCCTCCACCGCTGCCGATGCCAGAGGTGGAGCCGCTGCCCGAGCTGACCGTGTTGAGGGAATTCTGGCTGCCTTGCGGGGTGCGCTTCCCCATGTCCTCCGTCAGGCTGGGCGCCTGGGTGCTGCTGTGGTGTGAGGACGCTGGTGACGGAGGGACGTCTCCTTCTGATTTAACTAGATAAGACAAAAGGACAAGGTGAGGAAGGAAACATTAGGGGCAGCAGAGGAGATGTTATGAAGGAAATAAAGGAGAACAAACAAGGTGAATATAAAAGATATGTGACAGCCCCGAATGATCAAGAGGAAAAGAAAATCAAAAGAAACTGGAGAAAGTTGTGTCATTCTATATTATATAAGAGGGTTGGATAAACAATGAAATAGCGAGGCACAACAAAGTAAAATAATAAAGCAAAATTACCCAAAAGAATCTTACATTTGTTCAATCTGATAAAAGTCCCTCTTCTCTTTTAATTCCTATTCTACTTCTGCTAAATGAACAACCTTCTCCATCTAATCTGCTTTGAACCTAAGCTAAACTGAACTGACGTGTCCTGCCTGCAGAATCTGAACATTTCATTTCACCCCACATTTCATTTCCTGTACGGCTGCTCAGGGAAGGCGCCTCATACCGTCTGCCCTTTGAGGGAGACAGGGAACAGGCAGTGAACTAATGTCTGGGCTGCCATCATCAGGCCAAGGGTTGAGCATCCTCTATATCATGTTTATGGGTCTTTTCTTTATTGCCTGCTGAGGAATGGGAAGAAGTAGGAAGAAGCGGGACGTAGAGCCACTAAGATGAGCGTTGTGGCATCGGTGATGGGGTGAAACGTTTAATTGCCGCAGATGCTGACTGCCTCCAGATCCACAGACTAAACGTGAAGGAAGGAAAGGGGCTGGCACATAACGTAGAAGGAAGGGCCCCAAACTCCTAATAGAACTTGGAAGGATGGAACTACAGTATGGCAATAAATAAAAACTTATCTTAAGGTTAAATCATAGTAGCATCAAAGCTTGTTAGGCAATACTATTCTAAATAAAATGTAATGACACAGCAGGAAAAAAATTAGGGGATTTTTTTTATAAAAAACAAGATGTTAGCATAAAGGAAACTTTAATCTGAGTGTGACCTCTTATCCCCTTAACGAGCTAATTGCATCAGAAGGATATTCTCAAATTTTAATAACTAGATAAACAATATAGCAAACTAAAAGGGCTGCTGTGATCATTGTTTAAGTGGAATTGTTTTGATTTTTGGTTACTGTAGAGAGACAAGCAACTTCCACTAAATAAATTCTTGAATATTATTTAGCCATAATTTTTAATATGAAAATAAATATTTTGTCATATTATGCTGCTCAGTGACACAGTGGGTAGCACTGCTGCCTTGAAACAAGAAGGTTCTGGGTTCGATTCCCGGCCTGTGGTGTTTCTGCATGAAGTTTGCATGTTCTCCCTGAGCATGCATAGGTTCTCTCTGGGTACTCCAGCTTCCTCCCATAGACCAAAAACATGACTGTTAGGTTAACTGGAAGCACCAAGCCTCTAATATAAATTATTATATAGCAGCATATTTGTCACTGAAGCTGATGCTTGATCTCAAACCACTGCTCGGACAAAAGCAATCAAAGACGAGAGTCGAAGCTCCCTGTTGTGCTCAGCCCCCATTAGACAGCAGCTGGTCACTTATCCTCAGTGTTTTTGCTGATCGGTTATAGAAAAGAAAAAAAAAGAAAATTTTATGCCAACCAAATATATGGATTTAAAGGGGTTATAGTATTTGTAGAGGATTGAGCTAATTAGCCGTGGCAGACTTAAATACTTATTCCATGAGATAATAACATAATCAAAAATTAAAACGTCAGAAGTTGGTTATCAAAAGATGTTTTAACATAGAAAAGCTTCCTTCAGAGCTAAATTGCTCTTCGGATATATTTTTAGACAAATAACCTACAGGAAACACTTTAGCTAAGACTAAATAATCAGAGGGAAAACAAGAGAAACAAAATGTTGAGTCCCTTTGCTTTTTTGACAATATGTAATAAGAAAAGGATCGTCATCTGCATAAAGATAAACTTCCCGATCAATGTGAGGAGGGAGTTAAAGAGGAAATCAATAGAATGGCATCATATCACTGAAGTCTAAGCGTGTGATGCAGCGTACAAAATTAGAACCCAACATGACTAATCCAATTTATCCATGAGAAAAAACAAAAAAAAAAAACAAATGAAAAGGCAAAGAACTAAAACTTTTAAAAAATTCCCCCTGCTGTTCACAAATACTGCAAAACTAAGATTTAAAAGTCAAGCTATTCCTTGGTCCTTTTGTACAAATTTAATTAATACCCTGAACATTTTCCAAATTGCATTTAATGATAACACATCTGTTAAATTTAATATGACCTTTTCTGAATACACTTAATGCTTTATAATCCCAAAATCTGCTAAAGACATCAAAAACAAACAGGATTTGGTTGTTTTATCCTAAGTGGTAAATTTTTTGGCCAGGAGTCTAAAGCTAGCATTCAAAACTAACCTAGAACTAAATGAGGCACACTATGATCTTCATAGGCTTTGAAAAGTGATTGATTTGAAAGGTTAAATGAATGGTGAGTAGTTTGCTGCTCTTACCTGTGTAGCTGGTTTTGCGTCGCACAGTAAGATTAACATGGCCCTGCTTGGCAGCCTGCTGCATCAACTGCACCACCAATTGATGCGACTTGCCCACCACCGCCGTGCCGTCCACGCATATCAGTTCATCTCCGGATCGGAGGCGGCCGTCCTCATCTGCAGCGCCGTACTTTACTATGTGGCCGATGTAGATCTGGAACATAGGCAAAGCAGAAAAATAGGCTCTAACAAGGAGAAAGAAAGAACTCATTTATCTAGATGTTATGCAACAATGTATGCTTAATTTTTGCATTTCAGCTCACAGTTGTCCTGTACTTCAAATTTAAACCAACGCCAAATAATATTTTTCCTTGAAAGAAGAAATAACAGTGTTGGCCAGTAAACCTGAACAAATAACAGAATAAAAGAATAGATATCCTGGTGTGAGATCTACTCTTTTTAAAGGGAAAGCTTCTTGTTAAAAACCAGTGATGTGAAGTTGTCAAGAGCCCAACTTCACAAAACAGCCGTAAATATTCTCACTTGAAAGCCGAGGGGAAAAAGCCTTCTTTTTAAATGATTGTTACTGAATTTTCTGAGCTTGATTTCACACAAGGATACTTTACAATTTATTGTACTTGGAGAAGCAACATAAATAGGTTTCATTTCAATCAATACAGTCATTTTTTCAGGGACTTACAGGTTCTCCTGGCTCGTTGCCACCAAGGATCCTAAAGCCGAAGCCTGTGTCCTTCCTCCACAGGAAAATGTCCTGCTCCTGGAAGTCTGGAACTGTGAAATCAATAAACTGCCATCAGTCATGTTAAGGGAATTCTCTCTATAGCCACCACCAATACAAAAACCCCATCCAGGACGAGTTTGAAGGAGGACATTAAGCTGGATCCGCATACTGGGATAATAAGAGCTGGAAGGAAGGGAAAACAAGTGTTTTGTGTGCAATTGTGAATAATTGTCTCAACTATCACATGTCATTAAAAAAAAAAGAGGCTGGCGACTGAGGAATCCAAAGACAAGAGCATTTATTTTTGGTCTAAAGTAGTTTTACACAAGAAAGGAAAAAAAACAACTAAAGTCTGCTCACTATCCAAAAATAGAATTAAACAGCTGGTACACTGCTTTGAAAAAAAACTATTTATATCTTCACTAAACCAACCACAAACCCATTTTTCACAACCCTAAACATACGTATGGGGATTTTATATGATAGATAATAGAGCATCATTGTGAAGTGGAGCCGGAAAATGATGCATATGATGCCTTAATTTGGTCTTCATGTATATTAAGACTCCTCAGTCAATATATGCAGAAGCATAATTCACTGGAATTGCAGCTGTAATGCGTTTAATGGGATTTCTCCTCCACTATGATGCAGAAAATGACATACTGAAAGCAGTCAGATGGTCAGAAAATACTAAAAGATTTTTCGTATATTTTTTGTTTATTTTCAAAGATACCCTAGTTAACTCAGGGTTTATACAGGAATGAATAACTCAAATTTAATGCTTTTTAACGCTCTTAGAAATAATTTTAATGCTACCAACAGGTACCCGTCGACAGGCTGCAGCCATGTCCCGAATTCCTCGTTTTCCAACCACTTTTGTTGAAATTAGCTTTTTTTCTCTAGCTTTTTCTCAGACTCAAGCTTCTTTTCTGAACATGCAGCTTTGCGATCAACCGGAAGCAGTTCCACGCAAATATATCATGATATAATATGTCTGACGAAATCAATTTTATAAAAACATTTTTTAATAAAGCATTTTAAATGACACAATAAACACATTTAATGAATTTTAATGCCAATTAAGGCCTTAATTTAAAAAATAATAATTTAATTATTTTTAATGACCCCCAGAAACCCTGTAACTTTTGCACCACATATTAGCTTCATTTGAGATTCATGATTTTTCAGGTCAGTATCCAGCATATGTTGTATATTCGATGCTCTGTGCGGGAAACTCATCTCAAAAACTTGCATATGTAACTTGAGAGTGTCGGATTGGACACTGAGTGAGTCGTGTGACCCTGAGCAGTACTTTCCAGTCTGAGCTCCTCTTGCTCGCTAACTGAGATAAATGCTATGTAGTAACACTGCAGTGCTGCTAGTGGCTAAAAGCTACATTGCTTCAAGATAAACAAAAAGAAAATAGGCATCAGCATAAGTATACGGTAAGTTAAATTTGCAGCCTAATGCTTTTTAAATTTTTATTTTTAAATCCTATGCTTGAGCTTTCAAATATGGTATTTTTGAATTGTACTCAAGAGCGGCGAATGGCCTGTGGGAATTATCTGCTCTACCAGCTTTGCATCTCTCCAGAAACTGCTTCATAAACTTCTCAAGTCCTCCGGGAGTTCCCTGTCTTAGGTGCCATCTTTCTTACTGTTGACGGCGAATGCATTACCTGCTCCCCATCTTAATTGTTTGACTTCATGTTGATGTATCGCATAAAATCCAAATACACATATTAAAAATTATAGCTGTAATGTAACAAATTGTGCAAAAAAAATGGCATAGTAAATGGGGATGCTTGGACTTGAGCTAACATTTCTACAGATGCAGCTGTGCGTTTCTGAGCAAAACCCTAGAGATATTTGAATGTGCTTCACTTCATGTGGCTGCTGCCAAAACCACCAAAACCAAAAAGATTCCTGTTACCAATCTGTCCCTTTGGTCAACATTTAAAATCCATGCAGAGAGTAGCTCTTCTGACCAAAAATGTTTCTGTGGAGCGACCAAAAAGTCAAAGGCTAACTGTTGCAATCTGCCCATGGTGGTTATTAGATCCATAAGTGATCCCTGTGGTGAGGCAACTGGGCATACGAGGATGTTTCAAAATAGACGTGCAGAGCCAAAGCAACAGAACGCTTGGTTCAAACATTAGGAAAATTAATCTGGGAACATGTTAAAGCCCAGAGATAATCAAAACAGAGGCCAATAAAACATGAAGCCTCCAACCTTTTCTGGCCGAGCTAATTTGATGTAGGTCAATGACGTGCCAGTATTTGAAAGGATTATTTGTGAAAATGGAAATCATTCAAGCCATGATGCGTGGAGAGACCTTGATCTCAGCAGACCGTGTTATTACAGTGAAAGCAAAAGTAGAGAATTTTCTTTGCCTGAGCCCTACGGAATGAATACAGAAGGACTTTAGAAATGAAAGCTCACAGTAGCATGAGGGGGAGGGAGAGGATTCACGCCTCCTGATAGGGGTCACCTGTCCCCTTTAATTCCAGGTATTCCTCCTGACCTTTCTCTGCGTTACATTTTCCGTGTTTGTTATGGTCTGTTCTCCATTGGATGCCTTCAATTCACTTTCATCAAAAAAAAAAAACATAATTCCTTAATCATTGTTCTTATTTGTCTCTATCTGCAATGAGGTAACTAACTAAAGCAATTTTGGAAATCTACCACATTAAAACTGCCTTGGAGAATTATCTTCTATCTCAGGTCTGGTTCTTTTCCCCTTCCTCCTCTCTTTTTGCCTTTACTTTTTGCAGAAGCATTTTCTACAGGCCACTAAATAATGAAAAACTCGCCGACAGGAACTGCCTGGGCATCTGCTGAGATGTTGTCATTTAACTGCACTTGCACTCATGTGTTTTCTTTCTTTCTTTAGTTTTAAAACTGACAGAGGGTCTGAGGGTTATTCTTATTAATTGGAGCTATCTAGTAGAGCGGTAATTTGAAAAAAAAAAGTGCTTTGGAATCTAAGATGTACGTCTACCAACACTGTGAAAAAAAATTGCAAGAGGTTTTAGTGCTAAAGAATGAGCTAAAGAGGAATCGTTAGACCATCATTTGAAAAGACAGAAAATATTAGCTAAAAACTATTTTTTTCTGGGATATAATCTGCAATCGCTGGTTACCATTGGTGAGCTTTGGTTGCATCATCCAGGAATCGGTTAATGGTTAAATTAGCTGACATTTGGATGTCCAAATTATGAGGACATCCAAATGTCAGAATGAAGGCAAAATGAAACTGAAGATCAAGGGTGGTAGAAAAGCTTTAGGTCAGATTAAAAGCAGCACTTCACACCAAAAGTTAGGGCTAACTTAGCGTAACACAGTGAGAGCGAGAGGAAGACAAAATCTAACTGGTTCATGTCTGCTCTGTAAGTAACAAACAATGATGTACGTATTTGGACATAGTCAAGCCAACTTTAAAATCTCGCTTTCAGTGTTAGCTAAGCTAGGGTAAATGTGGTATGTTAGATTTATTTTCAGATGAGGGATTCCAGCACCTGAAAACATACAAAAACACACTTAATGCTGCGTTTTATTTGCCTCTGGTGGATACATTTAGATCTGGGAAATAATGTCCCTACAAAGCTGGAATTCAGGGGGATTTTTAACTACTATACTGCTAATAGCTTATGGTGGTTTTTCCCCTTTGTCAGTTTTTGCCTTTGAAGTTTTGTTAACTTTTTCTAAAACTGATCTAATACCAACTATGGATCACTTTGTACACACCTTTGAGAATTTTCTATAATATAAGGAAATGCAGCTATAGGTCCAATAAAAGGTTGATATTTTTATGCTATCAGAATATATGGAAATAGAAAATTTGATTAGATAATTTTAGATTTTTGATGTTGGTACTTAAATAGTTAGGAAAATACTGTACCTCAAGCAGTAAATGAACATGTTCATAAACAGAGGTTGTATTGCACTGTATCCTGGTTGTTTAATGAGATACAGGCAGTTAGAAGGGGAAATAAGAAGGAAGTCTACATATCCTACTTTAGAGAACAAAGAGAACGCAGCATAAGAACGTTCATAGCACTAGGCTCAGTTCAGAGTCTAAAACCGGCTACTTACACACAGGCCTCGTTTCCCAAAGCTTCAGCTTGCAAACACACCAAGGGTCTCCGTCCCACTGCCCCATGCAGCCCTCATCCAACCGCCACCAAAAATATATATACTTACGCCTACTTTCATACATGCTCCTGGACTGGGCCCAGATCTTAAAGGGGTCTGGTTTTCGGTGGGTGGTCCCGTCTCCTTGAGAGTCCTGGGAAGGCAGGCCAGGCAAAGGCTGCGACGGGGCCGGCGGCGTGCTGCTCTCACTGAGAGGGGGTGCCAGAGACGAGTGCACAGGCGAGTCGGTGTGGGCGCTCCGGTGGCTGGAGACGCTATGCTGGGAACTGTTCTGACTGTCCTTCCTGGACAATTGCTGTAAAGGAAGTAGATCAATATCATTTGACTCTTTAAAACAGGCTTTAATGGAGCATGGACGATTAAACTCAAGAGTTGACATATAAGGGTTATTGAATTTTCTGCTGCAGATAAGACAGAAGGATCAGGGATGTGGCTGTGGAGAGGAGAAATGGAGACGATGAAGATATGAATACAAAAGAGTTTCACATTAAAGCGCCAAAAAAGATGAACAATTGCTTCTCCTCGGGGTAAAAGGAAGCAGACTCCAAGAGCGTGTCGCTGCGGCTGCGTTTCCACCTTAATCAACTAACAGAATAATCAAGGCCTTTCATTCAGAGAAATTCCTTTGGCTTACAACAGGACAGAGAAAGATCACGTAGTGATTTTTCATGATTAAGTCATTCAACTGAGCAATGCAAACACTGTGGATCAATTTAGAAAGGGCCACACTGCCTAGTCCTTTTGTTTAGCAGAGGGGGTGAGTTTTAACAAAGAACTGCATTCCATGCTGCATAAGGAGGAAAAAAAATATTGCAGTGAATGAAGTACTTTTGGGTTTGAAATGATGATTTTACTGGAAAAGTCATAAATTGCACCCGGCCGCTCAATTACATGGGTGCTTAAACACTTGGATTTGAGGTGTCTGAATAAAGCACATGTACTTCTTAGCTCAAGTGTAAGCTGACAGCCTTCCCAAGGCATATTTTATTTAATTTTTTCACACTTTATCCGTAGTGTGCAAAAATCACCCTGCTGTGACGATTTCAAACAGAAAGCAGCAAAATTAAAGAGTTACAGTCAGAGCATGGGGGAAAAAATGACAGCGGTTAAGACTGTTCACGTTATGTGGCTGCATGACTTGGGATATGAAGGATAAAAATAGTGGGGCTAGGGGAGGGAGGGTGGGAGGGGGTCGTCAGTTCTCAACTATCAAAGTGTTTGGCCTTCAAAGTGCAGCTATGTCTTCAATAAATTCTGACTCATTACTCACTGAATCTGCCTCCCACACCTCTGCAATTCATGTTTATATTCATAATCCTTGTTAGACATAAAAGAAGCTTGATGCTCTTGAAAATATTAAGTGGGAGCGGCAAATTGCACTTGGTGGTTTGAGTGGATGGCAAAGTTGAAAATCGATAGTTAAAGGAAGAGGAATGCTATTGTTTTAGGCTAACAACACTTCAGGACTCGTTTCATCCGTCAGTTCACTAAATTATATCCTCTCTGGTTTTTTTCTTTCAAATATATGGAGCCTTTTTTGTTCGAGCCAATATTTCTTTACCTTAAGTATTCGATGCACATGAGGTCCAGACGTCCCTCTCTTTTCAAATGAAAACAAATCTCTTGTTCTTGATGGATCTATTAGTTTTGCCCCCCCCCCCACTCTCAGAGTTCTCCCTTAATGTACCGGTCTGAGGCATTGGTTTGTCCTGCTCCAATAACGTTGATTGGAGGAACAAGAAGACGACAGCCAAGGTGGGAGGTGTAGGATCATGCTGCTTTAATGGTTGCTGCTATCCACAGAGGACAGCTGCCGCTGCTGAAGTATGTTGACGTTTGGTTCAAGCTACATTTACAAACCGCAGAAATGATCACACCTTTAGATGCCAGAGGCTCCTCTGGAGAGGCAGATTTGTGAAGCATAGAGTAGAGTTGTGCTCCCTCTCCCCAACCTGCTGCTACACACTGCTGATCAGCTGGCTTTTAAAAGGCTCTTATGTTTTTCCTCTTGCTTAAGAACGTAAATGTAGCTGTTCAGAAACAAATGACTCCCAGTAGTTTTAGAATGTTAAATTTGACCCTCCTTAAAATCTTTTAGGGTCCATTATATCCTAAATTATAAGACTCAATAAATTATTTACTCACTGGTTTAATTTTAGACCAAACATCAATCAATAGCCACCAGGTGGCAATGTTCCACCCACTTTGACAAATGATTATTTAAGCTAATTTTTTCTATACTCTAATCACTGCCTGCTGTAAGGAAACCTGTTTATATTAAATTTCTCCCAGCATCAGATTGGTTATATTTATTCAAATCCATGAGTGTTCATACCTACTATATCTAATAGGGGCTAACAGAACAAAAAGGAATGCATATAGTGTCTAATAAAGAAATATCTCAATGACTGAATGTAGGAATGTACAAATTGCATTTCAAAGGGATCATAGGATCTCCACGCTAACAATGGACGAACACGGCGCATAATTGTCACATCAGCATCAAAAAGAGGGATATTTTCTCAATGCAATCAGTATTCTGGACATTTTACTGGTTTTTCAGGAAAGCACTAACTTTACCACGGAACGTCCTGTTACATTAAGTCAACATTTGGCTCCCTAAGGTTAAACATTGTTTAAAACAGATTAGGGCATCTGCCTGTAAAGCGGCTAACTTTAGGATCTGCCTGAGCAGACAGTCCGACTAGCAAGGTACTGTCAGCTTTTTTTAATCCTGCGATACTTCACTCTGTGAACAAAGCAGAAGAAACCTTCAACCTGATTCAGTTTTTTTTAATTAAGCCTTCATCTTTTAATTACTAATAATGTTTTAGATCAAATTAAAGCTACACTATGAATATGACCAATAGTAGGAATGATTGTTGCTCTAATTATCTGTTGAACATTTCTTTGTCAATACTGTAATATTGGTGTATTTTAAATGGTTATAATAGAGGGAGAACACAGGCCAATGCCTTTTCCACACTTAGTACTCCTTGAAATGAAGCCACCACCATGATATACCCAGCACCAACACCTCATTCACAGAACCTTCCAAACTTTCTAAACATCACATACCATCCTAGTGTAATCTCTGTATGGAGGAGCCCGGTCATAATAATCCTGCAAAACAAACAAACAAAAAAAAACAACAAAAACAAACATGCAATAAGTGAGATGTGGTGGAAGGGATCTAATAGTGCAGATGTCTCTCTGCCATGATCACACGTTCTGCTCGCACGCTTCAAACCAGCGTGAAGCCATAATCAGCCTGTTAGCAACCCAGCTCACGCGGAGCATCAAAGCCCCTCGTCCCATCCTCCACCAGCAGAGGGGCGGGGGGGATCTCATGAAAAGCTACAGGGATCCGCCCCCGCAAAGCATAGCACCCCATGTCAACAAACAGAGCAACATCATCATCACAAGTTCCAGCACACAGGGTGGGGGGTGTGGGAGGCTGCGACCAGGCAGTAGAGATGGCTGAAAATGAGTGGCAATGCCAGAACTTACCAGTTTGGGGCTCTTCTTAGCAGGTGCCACTCCTGTGAAGCCAGACAGAGGAGAGAAAAAGACAAAGGGAGATGGTTAACGTTGGAGTTTTTAGTCCATGTTCAGATAAAAAGTGAAGGAAAGGAAAAAAACAAAAACATTTTATAACGCAGAGTCCCAAACAATGTCAAAGAGGCGCTCATCTAACCCTCAGCCCCTTTACTGCATCTTATTTCTTTCCCTGCTGGGTGCCTTTGCTTGCCAATCCACAGCTAGCGTTCGAGGAAGGGATGGAGGGGGTGGGATGTGGCGGGGTGGGGGTCTAGGCAGCGCTATCTATCTGCATCACCGCCGTGTCCAGTATTCAGCTTGACTGGCGCAGCGAGAGAGTGGGGCCGGCCCCCGAGGGCTTACCCGGCGCTCGCTAGACCCCGGCTACACGCATCAGAGAGAGAGAGAGTGCGCCTGTGTGCGTGTTTGAAGAAACAAAAGTGTGAGCTAAGAGCGGAGGAAAGAACGCTGGTGAGCAATTAAGCCGAGGAATAAAGAGAGAGGAGTAAAGAAGAGAAAAGCGAGCTTTGTTCGGGAGTTCCTGGCCGAAGGCATTACCCATGGAGAAGGAGTCCAAGATATTGAACATTAAATTATAGGCAATCGTCAGTTCCCCTCTTACTGAGACCATCTTCCTGTGTCCGCTGAGCGCTGCGCTCCGCTGTCGAAGGCTCCAGCATCTATAGGCAGTTGGTGCGTCCTCCAGGTCTCTCCCTTTCTTTCTGGCTTTTTTTTTTTTTCTCCCACCCGTCCTCCCTCTCTCTCACCTCGCCGTTCACTGTCCTCCCTCCCGTTTTTCCCTCAGCATCATTGCGCTCTCTCTCTCCCTCCCTTTTCCTTCTCTACGCTCTATCTCAGCCTCCCTCCCTCAAACGCTGGTAAACATCTATTCTGCGCCGCGCAGGCACACACATACCCAAACGCACGCACGGATGCAAGCATCAGATGGCTGCATGCAGTAGTGGCTCCAACACAAATCAAAGTGTGCTTGAGGTATGACGGACGTGTTTCTGCGTGAGCAGGCAGGAAACAGAAAGGAATCATTGCCGAAATATCAGGATCAGACAGCTATGCTTGGAAAATAAAGAGTGACATGTTGCTGGAATGCATGGAAAGGCCTGCATCTAGAGAGGGACAATTTGTTTCTGAAATACGACTGACCTCAACGCCTCCACTGAGTCCACCCTGCTTCTTTTACTAACAATGTAGGAAACAATTCAAGAGACGACTACCCTTTATACAACCTAACAATGCGTGGACACCACCAAACCGGCAAAATGAATGAAAACGTGCATGAATCGAGGCTACTGGGTTCTGTAGTGTGAATTCTTCAGGGAATCTGAGAGGATTCGATCTTGCTCACACATGCATGCACACAGGCTCCACTCAGTTTTATCTCTCAGACATCTGGGTTCATTCACAGCTGACAACTCCAACTGGGTTACGTCTGCAGTAGTTTTCTTCCAAGTCCTTCTTTCCTTCAATTATTCTCTCCCAGTTTCCCCCCCGGCCGGCTGTTTGGAGTAATTTATTAAGGGTCTGTAGTAATACTCTTTCTTATGGAAAGGGATGCTGACAGTCGACATTGGAGATGCTCTCATCAGGCTTTTTCTATGCATCAACAGTTTTCTTTAAAGTCAACCAATTTCAGATTTTTTTTACACTACATCAGATAAATAAAAATATAAGGAGCAGAAAGATTCCTGCTAGAAGTATTAGTATTAAATCCAACAGAAAGTGATAAGATGATGTGATTTTTCCCATTTATGGGCTCAAGTATATAATCCTTATGCTTAACTGGTGATTATTATTCTAAAACAAAGAAGTATCAAAAACCACACTGTATTGATGTGTTTATGGAATGGAAATTGTGGAAGTTTTCCTTTGTGATTAAGGCTTGATTCCGATATTTGAATTTGGATACCTGCAGATCTAATAATTTCCTGAAATCAGAGGTCTGTTTGCCTCAATGTTCTTATCAATACTGTTTATTTCTTTAAAAGGCGAGTGTCTTCAGTCAGAGGCTTCCCCAGATACGGTGCAACACAGACAGCTACAGAATATCTGTCTTGCCTACAGCTATCAACACCTGCATAAAAAAATAACCTGAGTTACTGCAGGATCTAATTTCCCTTTGGCATTAACATAGTATTTTTGAACTAAATCGAACTTCTCTCTACGAGCAAATAGCAAGCATGTATCTCCTGGAAGGCAACTTGAGATTATTAAAAGGTCAGAAAAGGAAATCAATAAACCAGTAAATCATGTTAACATGTTAAATTCCATCCTGAAAACACAAAAGCAACTATAAAGGTTCTGATTCACTGTATTTATTAAATCAAAGGCGGACGTCCATAACGGGGTATAATTTTTCTGGTGTTCAAAATGTTTTTAACCTAACCTAGATTTATTATATAAATAGACTAAACTGATCTGCCCCCTTTTCATTAATACCCCGACAGATAGATATTTAAATCAAATTGGTGGATCTGGTGTTTTTCACAATAACTGATGGAAGTCCAGCAGAAAATGAAATAACACGATCCTCTGAATGATTGGTGTATCTGTCAGTGGGATTATAAATTAAAAATTAATGAAACTTCAGACAGCTGAGATCAGAACAGATCGAAGGAAAACAGATCGGGTTCGATCCCTGTCCGGTTGATCGGTGCATATCTGGTGAAAAAGTCAAGATAGAATTTCATTATTCTTTATGAATCAATTGCAGCCAATTTTTATTCCCTAATACATTCAGGGGGGGGGGAAAGAAAGAGATTGCAGGTGTAGCAGATGTTCAAATATTAACAATTCAAACAAGCTACCGGCTTCTCAAAGTCTTGATAAAAAAATCTATAATTTTTGAGGCTAAACATTAGTTAAAATAATTGAAAGATAGAGCCATAAATCACAGCAGAAAACACAAAAAGTGAATGCTACAAAGGTCAGCATTAAAATTGCAGGGAGAAGCAGATCTGCTGGCTTTTGTGTGCGAGTAGGCGTAGCAGCAGAATGTGTTTGAAGCTCTCAGATCAAAGGCATGGTGGATGTTTGGACCGACCTCCGTACCCAATTACCCACAAGAGGAAGGAAAGAGCGGTTTTAGACAGGTGGGCGAACCGGCCTGCACTCTGGCTGCCCATGAAGTAGCGCTCCTCTCAATCCTTCAGGCTCAAATATAAAAATGAACCATGACTGCTGAAGGGTTTATTCTTTTCTCTGGACTTTACCTGTAAACGCTTCCTTTAAATGACTGACCACAACTTGTCTAACTGACCCTCATGATTAACAATCCATTCTCTTCAGTACAGAGACCAAATACACAGAGATGTAGAGAGGAAGTAGCAGGAGACTAGATCGAAACAATTTTTAGCAATCTTTCAGACACAAGCTCAAAAATTTGGTCCATATTTCAGATCAGTCAACACACTAAATCATCTTATTAAGCTAGGATATCAAAAACTCTCTTCAGTGGGGAAAGCGTTACTAAACTAATAAGACACCATGTAAGCAGATATAGATATAAAAGCCAGCTTTAAACTCTAGCTATATTTGACCTTATGCAGAGACCTACTTGAGGTTCATGCATGTTGCAAAACGAGAGAGAGCATCACCTTCAACGTCTCTTTGTCATGCAACATGCCGGATTTGAAAATCTCACTCAGAATTCTGCAGAGAATACACCCTATTATGTCATTTTTTAATGCTCTTTACAATATTTGCTGCTACGGGATGCTAAACAGCTTAAAAAGTTCCAAAACGTTTGTCTTTTTTTGATATATTAAACACCCGTTATGCAGGGAACTACTCCAAGTTATGAAGTTACCTCTGCTCTTAATAAATAATATAAACAATAAATATCCAATCGAGTTAGAAAAGCTAAATTAAATTTAGGTAGGAACTTGAAGATCTGATCACACTAGTGACTGGTGCATCTTCAAAATCAAGCTTCCGACTAATCATATTCCATGTCTAGAGATTTATTTGTGAGAAAAAACTTCAGTGCTTGAAATGAGAAAACAATAAAGGCAGCTTGTAATTTACTGTGTACCAACTCTGATTTGTATTGAGTTAATGCAGCTCGGTGTCAGTGTGTACGTAAAAAAGCAATCTGCAGAATGTGCAGTTCAAAAATAAAAATTTGGGATCAGTACAGTGTGACAAAAAAATACACGGCTCCAGTCAACAGACAGGAACTGTTGCAGCAGCCTGGCATCACAGCAGTCTCTAAACGGAAGACATTACTAAGCAGCTTACTCAGTCTGTCCAAGGCGTGGTGCGTACGCATGTACGCCGCGGTAGATCTTCCTCAGAGCGATGGCTCCCAACAGGTGGGTCCATCTGTCGCCGTGGCGACAGTACCTGGTGACTGTGACCACTAGTAGACCGTTTCCAAGCAACAGTTGTTGTAGCGAGCTGAATAAGTAACAAGCTCATATGAGCAGTGAGCATCTGTCTGTTGGACGGCAGCTTGTTAAATGCCTCCATGCTTCTGCAGAAGACATAACATCTTTGATTAAACTTTTTTAGGTTGTCCTGGTTTTTAAAGGAGCAGGGTAAAACTTCCCACCTCCCATAAACGTTACATTCACTCTGATGGAAACCTATGGCAGAATGTCGGCAGAGCATCGTCATGGAAACAAAAAGACGGTGCAGGGGTAGATATTTTCCTACTCAGCCACTGGCGATGGAGGTCTAAAGCCGGGGCAGACTGGTAGAGGAGGAGAGAGAAAGCAGTTCCCCTCGTCTCAGAGCAACAAGCAGTGCTTCACAGGACTTTGCCTCCAGCAAACTAAACGTGACAAAAGGTGAATCATTGGCACCTAGCGAGAAGGCCCTCACCCCCACCACCTCATCACCGTTTTCCTGGGCCGCAGTGCTGTTCGTTATGGTGCCACTGGAACATTCAGTCAGCAGAATTTTTTTGTGCGAACGGAGCAAAAATACAATGCTTCCTGGCCATACAGTAAATTGATTTCCTGCTTTGGTCTATGCGGGGACCCAT